TGGAGACATGCTAGAAGTCTGCCAAGATGTCGTCATGGAGGAGTGGAAGAGGACTGTGCGATGTGTTATTTTCAGGTGTGTTTATTAGGGATCAAAGTTTTTTCCGGACTGATACAGATTATTAGTGACCAATTAGACCGATATGTGGAACCGATATCCTTTTGCTGTTGGTCTCAAAATTTAGAATAACACAAACTCCAACACAAAGTCTGTTAAAAACAACAATTAAAGTTAATTGTCATGTTTATAAATTAAAATTAAAAATGTCTTAGAGATCCATCCCAGAGATGGACTTAACTATAAGTGATAAATTATCATAATCTTTGTCTTTAAAAGCTGCCATTTATATTGTATTTATTTTATATTGTTAGGATTTTATTGATATATTTATTGATACTATATTCTTTCTGTTCTTTATCCGTCCTTTTATTGGTTTTTCATTACCAATTCATTTCATTACTTAAAAATGTTATTTAAAAAAGATATACAGGTGCTGGTCATATAATTAGAATATCATCAAAAAGTTGATTTATTTCAGTAATTCCATTCAAAAAGTGAAACTTGTATAATGTATACATTCATTCCACACAGACTGATATATTTCAAGTGTTCATTCCTTTTAATTTTGATGATTATAACTGACAACTAATGAAAACCCCAAAAAATCAGTATCTCAGAAAATTAGAATATTGTGAAAAGGTTCAATATTGAAGACACCTGGTGCCACACTCTAATCAGCTAATTAACTCAAAACACCTGCAAAGGCCTTTAAATGGTCTCTCAGTCTAGTTCTGTAGGCTACACAATCATGGGGAAGACCGCTGACTTGACAGCTGTCCAAAAGACGACCATTGACACCTTGCACAAGGAGGGCAAGACACAAAAGGTCATTGCTAAAGAGGCTGGCTGTTCACAGAGCTCTGTGTCCAAACACATTAATAGAGAGGCGAAGGGAAGGAAAAGATGTGGTAGAAAAAAAGTGGACCAGCAATAGGAATAACCGCACTCTGGAGAGGATTGTGAAACAAAACCCATTCAAAAATGTGGGGGGGATTCACAAAGAGTGGACTGCAGCTGGAGTCAGTGTTTCAAGAACCACCACTCACAGACGTATGCAAGACATGGGTTTCAGCTGTCGCATTCCTTGTGTCAAGCCACTCTTGAACAATGATTTTAAATAGGCCAAGGAAAAAACAACAAAAATCAATATGTGGCGCTGATATTGTGGCGGGCTGCCACAAATAAATGGACGTATGGGAAGGACTGAGTAACGAGCGTAGTTATGGTGAAATTATGTGAGCTACAGTGATCTGCTCACTACTCTGCAGAAGTAGCACCTGCCACCGCGGGTAACTTGGTGGTGGGTGAAATCGTCGGCCCATCCGACGGAGAATTACTAAGCTTGTCCTGATGATATTATTTAATACCATGACTTTACTCAAATTATCTTTCACATATTGCTATAATTTGATACTTCTCCACCATTGCTCATAATAATTTGATTTGATCATAACCCAGGCCTGACTCACAAGAAAGAACGTTTAATCTAATATTGTGTTGGTCGTACTAAACACTGATTTACTGCTTGTCCATTTTGAATAATACAGAAGGTAAAGAGCTTAAAAATTGATCGCATATTAAATCGCAATATTAATTTAAAAAAATAAAATACAAAAAATTGCAATTAGATTATTTTCCAAAATCGTTTAGCCCTACTAGTCAGTGCTAATAGGCTGTTACTCCTGAGATTTGTTAATTAATTATATCGGCCATCTGATTTTAAAGTGGCCGATGCAGACTTTTGGAAAAATGCTGAATATCGGCGCCGATAATCAATATAAATACACAGTGTGTGTATTAGTACATATAGACGGGTCCTGCAGTACCTGGCCCCCCTTCCTGCGGTCCCATCCTGCCACCAGGATCCCAGCAGACAGCTCCTCTCTGTAACGGTAGCAGCTCGCTTTGAACAGATTGGCAGCCGTCTCCACCAACGGGGGCTCGTCCAGCTCGATGCTGGGGGCGGGACCACAGACAGGTTAAAGGTCAACAGCACCTGACTGGCCGCTGAGGCTGTTAATCAAACTGTGTGTGCGTTACCTGTGAAAGCCCAGCTGGTAGGTGACCACGTCAGCGATGGCCTGAGTGTCAGCAGCTGATCCAGACCTGCAACAGAACCACGTCACACATCCAACAGCTGATCTACAAGGTTCCACTAAAGTCTTAGAACCTTACTATAAAAAGGTTCTAGGTTTCATAAGAAAGATTATTTCTAAGGGTTCCTGAGTTCTTATATCACCAAACGGACGGAGTTCTGCAGGAACGTTGTTCTCTCTAAAGTTGCAGGGTACCAGCTCGACTCGCTTTGTGATGTTTGTGAGGCTACATCCACACTACTACGGTTTTTAAACACTTTTATAACAAACACGATCTTCTGCGTCCACAGCAGCGTTTTAATTCTGAAGTTTTGAGGAAGCAGCTGCCCTGTGTTTTTGTTGCTAGCTTCAGTAGAAAGAAGAAGCAGCAGCGGTCACTCCACAACACTGCGCTTGTCTGATCGCTGCTCCACCCTCTTTGTAAATGATTAACGCATCAATGCTTCCTGTCTGAAAAGGACTTTGGTGCTCGCTCTGAAGACTGCTCAGTGAAACCATTTTAGCTGATGGCGAGTATTGCATCATCTGATCAGCCTTTTTAGAGAGCACCGATCAAACCAGTTAAAGCCATAATCGACCGACTACGATCGGAGCTCCCTTAATTAAAGTAGTCCTCAAGTAGAACGTTAATTTTGTTTTTAGAAATCGGGCCGTGCTTTTAGACCGAAGGTTCCCCAGATCTGCTGAACTCCTGTGTTTTAATGGTTCTTTAAGAACTTGATAGTTTGATCCAGTTTGTTATTAAACTTGAATCGTGTCTCAGCTTCGTGCAGCGTTGCTATGACAACATTGAGCGTGTAGTATATCTGCAATGTGAATCGGAGGACGGGGCACCAAAGTGAGTTGAGCTGGAACCGTCCAGTGGAAAAGCGGCACAAGTTCCTGATGCTGAGAACTGATCACAGTGAGAATACGTCAACATATGAGTTTGTGAACAGGAAGTTCTGGAGGAGGAAGTGACCTGCAGCAGAAGATTCGGTCGTGGATCGGAGTCAGTTTGTCCGTTACTCTGTTGGCGATGTAAGCTCTGAAAGACGGAGAGACAGACGGGTTAAATGAGTGTTCACAGAGAGTTTGATCAGCTGCACGCTCCTGTGTTGTTCTTACCCGGTGGTCGTGCGAGAGTCGGCGCCGATCACCACCCCTCCATCGTACTCCACCGCCATGATGGTGGTCTGACACACAGAGAGACAAACAGGTCACCGGGTGATGTAATGATGCACGTGAGACAATGCAACATATTTTACCCACTTTGTCCCTTTTGTGAGACCTCAGTGTTGTGTGGTCAGTAGAGACGTCACAAGAACTTGTACTTCAGTACCAAGGCGATTCTTAAAACATGTCGGTAAAGCCTCGTTCACACTACACGATTTCGGTCGCCAGTCTTTGTGTGAACTACTCAACGACACATCAAAGAGGCTCCCCGACACATTTCTGACACATCGCCGACGTCTGCAAAATATCTGGAGGACTCTCGACTTGACCAGCCAATGAGAGCAGGCTGCTATTTTTTCACCATAAAACATTTTACTCACCGCCGTAAAACAGGCGTGCATGAAAACGGTGTGAAGTTATTTAGCGACTGTTTCCTTCAGCAGCTCCGTGTCAAAGCCTGGATTTCTCCCAGTTCTGTTGGAGAACTAATTCAGGCAGACGTTACAGTTTGATCACCTGGAAATCACCAAAGATGACGATGCAGTTTGCAGCTCTAAGAACTGAACGTCTGTCCAACGCTCCTGTTCCTGTAGGAGGCGTTACGATCCATTTCAATCATCAATAACTGTTTAGTTTTCTAAAAATCTCAGACAGCTGCCAGTATAGACAAAGACCAGCCTGAAACATTTCACACATTTCAATTACATATGCACATTGTAAGTTTGTAATTTCATCAGTTTGCTCATTTATGAACATACTGACACCAAACCGTCTTTCTTTTTAGTAATGTTAAAATGTTTCTATTAAAAAAAGGAGTGGGTGTTGAAATTCATGGATTTATTGTTTGGTTTGTTTTACCGTGGTATCCAGAATCACGGACATTTATTGGTATCGACTGCTAGATTTCTATTATGGTGGCGTCTCTACTGGTCACGTTTCAATGTGATGAAGTCTCTGATCTGTCACATGTAAGATGACGCTGAACGAGACATTCCTGTTTGATGCAGAAACTCTGAGTTCATAAATCAATTTGATTTAACACACCACAGTTATTTTAATGCCCATCATCACTCTGGTTTATAAGTGAGCTCATTATCGGACACAGCATTTATTATGAGACTTAATTTATTTAAACTAATATCCAGCAGCTGTTATTTAACTTCACACCGTTAACGGCGTTACTGTCGCGATAAACACTAACGGAGCATGTTGGTCACTTTTAAGAACCAGCTCCTGTTTCAGACTTAAATCCGGGACGCTGTCTATCCCGGTCCGGCTCGGTTCAGCCCGGTTTCTTCCTCCGGTCCGGACTGTAACAGAGCAGCCGTTAGCAGCCGTTAGCCGCCGTTAGCAGCCGTTAGCAGCCGTTAGCCGCCGTTAGCCGCCGCAGAAGTGCCGTCTCATTCAGCCGCTGCTCGCAGGATAAAAACCCTCCAACGGAGCAGAACCGGACCCGGTTCGGTCCGACCCGGTCCCCACAGCCCGCGTACTCACCCCGGTGCTGACTTCCTGGCTGGTCCAGTCCGGGGCCAGGTCGCTGTTGGACGAAACTTTCTGTCCAAAGTACGGCATCATTGTTGCTGCTGCCGCCATCTTGTCTCTGTTAGTATGAACTGGACGCACGGCGCATGCGCTGTTATTGAAGAAACCGCCGTTAACGTGAGCGATTAGCGTTTTGCATGAGTTACCGACAAAATCACCGACACATCTGTAATTAAACAGCACGATAGATTTCAGTACATATTTTTCTCTTTCCAATATGAGTCAAACGCAAATATAACATAAAACATAAAACTCCTGAAACAGTTTTGTTGCGGCTTGTGAGCGGACACCTCTGCAGCGGGGTCCTGAGCTCCGCAGGAACCAGGAAGAGAAGGTAAACATCTGCTGCTGCTCCGCAAAATGTCTCATTATTATACTAAATAGGGCGATTTGTTGCCTTTTAATAGATATATACGCGTGTAAGAAAGGCGTTTAGTTAAAAGTGATATTTAAATTTTGTTCCAGCCGTTTCTCAGCCGTTTGAACTGAGCGGTGAACCAGACTCCGTTTAAAAAACAGTCATTTTAAGGCCGACTTTACCAGCGGTCTCAAACCTGTGTGTTTCAGATGACGGTCCATAACTTGTACATATTTGACCGTAACGGCAGCTGTCTGTATTATAATGAATGGAACCGCAAGAAGCAGGCGGGGATCTCCAAGGACGAGGTGAGAGGACAGAAGCTTTAATATAGATAAAATACCATCAAAGGTCCGTTGAGTCTGGGGGAAGTGAAACTGTCTGTGTCTCTGCAGGAGTTTAAGTTGATGTATGGGATGCTGTTCTCCATCCGCTCCTTCGTCAGCAAGATGTCTCCTGTGGACATGTATCCTTCACTACAGCAGTCTGCCTGTCTCCCTGTCTCTCTCTGTGGTCCTTAGAGGCCTGTCTCTCTGCCTGTCTGTCTGTCTGTCTCCCTGTCTGTCTCTGTGGTCCGTAGAGGCCTGTCTCTCTGCCTGTCTGTCTGTCTGTCTCCCTGTCTGTCTCTGTGGTCCGTAGAGGCCTGTCTCTCTGCCTGTCTGTCTGTCTGTCTCTCTGCCTGTCTGTCTCTGGTCCTTAGAGGCCTGTCTCTCTGCCTCTCTGTCTGTCTGTCTCCCTGTCTGTCTGTGGTCCGTAGAGGCCTGTCTCTCTGCCTGTCTGTCTGTCTGTCTCCCTGTCTGTCTCTGGTCCTTAGCAGCCTGTCTGTCCTCAGGAAGGAGGGCTTCCTGTCCTTTCAGACCAGCAAGTATCGTCTTCATTACTACGAGACTCCCAGTGGACTGAGGTTCGTCATGAACACAGACCTGTCTGTCCCCAACGCCAGAGAGACGCTGCAGCACATATACAGCAACGTAAGACAGACAGAGACACAGAGAGAGAGACACAGAGAGAGACTAACCTGTTAATACTGAACACAGTCGTTTGCTGATTGATTCATAAAGACAGCTGATCAGTTTACTCTCTGTGTCTCTGATATTTCTGAACGTGTTCAGGACAGTGAGCTGAAAATACTACTTAAAATACCACATTCTACTGTGTAATGTCCATAGTACCACGTACTTCATGTAGTAACTTGTTTTTATTTGTGTCTCAGTCTTTTCAGCTGGTGTTTGGGTTTGTTACTATTCAGCTGCCTAAACGGAGCCTGAAACAATTCTTGTGGTCGACGACATTAAAGAGAGACTTTTTTAAAATGTAAAACTCTTTAAATCAAACTGCAGCTTAACTAAAGACCGTCTGTCGTCTCAGAGGGAAAATATTTAAATCGACACATTTAAGTGGCGCCGAAATTTAAGTTCCAATTGGGTCCAGTAGATACCGGCCGTAAAGGAACCGGTTCCATATTGGCACTGGGTTTCAGTACCAGCCCTGGTGTAACGTTGCGTTACCATGACAGCAGAGGTGGAGAAACATGTAGAAAATGTACTTTTAAATGATCCTGATGTGGAGACACAAAGGAAGCAACCTGATTTATCCGTCTCTCTCTGTCTCGCAGCTGTATGTGGAGTACATCGTGAAGAACCCGGTGTGCGTGCTGGGTCAGAGTTTGGACAGCGAGCTGTTCAGCAGCCGGCTGGACGCCTTCATCAGAGCGCTGCCGTACTACAGCCCGCGGGCCGCCTGACGCACACTGTTACTGTGGTTACTGTGAACATGTCGTCTGATGTTTTATTGATCATTAAAGTGAAGCATGAAGCCGGCCACTGGCTCCACGTGTCTGATTCAGTCACCATGGCGACACCTGCTGGTGCTGAGACAGTCAGCAGACGTCTCTCTGCTCTGGATCCTGTTCTGTCCTTAATAAGTTTGTTCCTCCTTTGACGTCGTGGACAAAAGTCAACAGCTACACTGTAAAGCTCCTTCTCCACCGCTGGTACCAACTTGACCCAAGTCGGTTTTGGCCCGCCGTCCTCCGTCTCCATTGCAGATAGTCAAAATAGCTGGTCGTCACAGCGACGTAATGTTCAGCGTGACCCACAAACAGCTGTCTCTTGGTTTAAGTTAAAACGTTTGAACCTTGCTCAGGATGTAAAGACAGATAAGCGGTATGAAAAGCTTCCAGCTGCGTTTTCCTCTGCCGTTGTTGCTGCAGCGGTCTGTGTGACGGCGGGAGCAGAGGGCTCTGTGAGCGGGCGGCTGGCCGGCCTCACACGCTCCTCCCGCGGGTTGGCGCAGGCTTCCCACGCCGCCACTTGTGGAGCTCCGAAAATATTCATGCACATTCTCGTTAAGATTTTCTTTGTTTCAGTTCATACGTTCATAAAGTTGATCTAACTCCATTCGTTGTTTTTTTTTAGTTGATTGAAGATTTTATGACTTGTTTCAACTTTATACTTTTATGTTAAAACTAAATATTTTGTTACTTTATAAATGAAAGAAAACTTTTCTTACCTAAAAGACATTTCTGCTTTGTTCTAACTCACACTTTCAAGTTTAAAGAACTTAACTACATTTAAACCACTTTCCATTTCAAGTTAAGAGGATTTATGATCCACATTAGTTTCAGTTTACATTTGTTAGATTACAGCGGCCAACTGTTCGCTAAACACTTATTCTTTACAGTAATTTTGCCTAAGCACTCACAGTTCTTTCCATCTTTTAGTGACTGCTGTTCAATCTCATAGTTGTTCTAAAGTTTTGGTAACTGACGCTACAGTACTTTAGCTTAGCCGTTAGCGACTTTAGCTTAGCAGCTAGCGATGGCTTCTCCTTCTCCCTCTCTCTCTCCTACTTTCTCCTGCTCGGTGTGTCAGATGTTTAGTTACTCCTCTGCCTCCTTTAGCGGTAATGGTACATGTAATAAGTGTAGTTTATTTATAGACATGGAGGCGAGGCTCAGTGAGTTAGAAGTCCGGCTCCGCACCCTGGTAGATCAGTCTTTAGCTACTGTAGCTAGCCAGTCCCCGGTAGTCGGTGCGGAACGGCCTGAGTTAGCCTCTGGTAGCCGTCCTCCGGCATCCCCTGTGCAGCCAGGAAAGGGGGGCTGGGTGACTGTCCGAAGGAGGAATAGTAAGCATTCAAAGTCCACGGGGCATCATCAACCTGTTCACGTTTCTAACAGATTTTCCCCACTCAGCGACACACCCGCTGAGAAACCAACTCTGATCATTGGCAGCTCCATTTTGAGAAACGTGAATTTAGCGAAGCCAGCGGCCATAGTTAAGTGCATCCCTGGGGCCAGAGCGGGCGACATTGAGTCTTATTTGAAACTGCTGGCTAAGGATAAACGTAAATACAGTAAGATTGTTATTCACGTCGGCGGTAATGACTCCCGGTTACGCCAATCGGAGGTCACTAAGATTAATGTTGAGTCGGTGTGTACATATGCAAAAACAATGTCGGACACCGTAGTTTTCTCTGGACCCCTGCCAAATCTGACCAGTGATGACATGTATAGCCGCATGTCGTCATTCCGCCGCTGGTTGTCGAGGTGGTGTCCAGCAAACGATGTGGGCTTTGTTGATCATTGGCAGACTTTCTGGGGAAGACCTGGTCTGATCCGGAGAGACGGCATCCATCCCACTTGGGAAGGAGCAGCTCTCATTTCTAGAAATCTGGCCAAGTTTATTAGTGGACCAAATCCATGACAACCCAGAGTTGAGACCAGGAGGCAGAGTCGCAGTTTAACACACTTCTCTGCCCTTCTTTTTCAGCAGTTACCCACCCAAAACCCTACGCAGAGTCGCAGTCTAACACACTTCTCTGCTCCTCCATTTCAGGAGTTACTTAGTGAAAATCCTATAGTGACGGTGTCTGTCCCCCGACCATCGAAATTATTTAAAAAGGTAAACAGAAGAGGAGCTGTGCATAAAAACCTTATAAAAATTAAAACCACAAGAGCAATAGTGCAAACAAATAGGAGAGTTAAATGTGGACTCTTAAACATCAGATCTCTCTCTTCTAAAGGTGTACTAGTAAATGAACTAATATCAGATTATGATATCGATTTATTTGGTCTTACTGAAACCTGGCTGGGTGATGGAGAATATGTTAGCCTAAATGAATCCACCCCTCCCAGTCATATTAATACTCACATTCCTCGAGGCACAGGCCGAGGAGGTGGAGTTGCAGCTATCTTCGACTCTAGCCTATTAATCAGCTCTAAACCTAAACTAAACTATAACTCATTTGAAAGTCTTGTTCTTAGTCTTTCGCACCCAAGTTGGAAATCACTGCAACCAATTCTTTTTGTTATAGTGTACCGAACACCTGGCCCGTATTCTGAATTCTTATCTGAATTTGCAGAGTTTTTGTCAACTTTAGTCCTTAAAACGGACAAAGTTATTATTGTAGGGGATTTTAATATTCATGTAGATGTTGAGAATGACAGCTTCAGTACTGCGTTTATCTCTTTGTTAGATTCCATCGGCTTCTCTCAGAGTGTTCATGAACCGACTCACTGTTTTAACCACACCCTGACCTTGTTTTGGTGTATGGTATTGAAATTGAACATTTAGTGGTGTTCCCACAGAATCCCTCTTTATCCGACCACTGTTTGATAACTTTTGAGTTTGTATTGCTGAACTACTCGCCATTGGGCAAAAATTTCTATACAAGATGTCTGTCTGATAGTGCTATAGCTAAATTTAAGGATGCGATTCCATCAGCTCTAAATACATTATCTAGTCACAAAGTAACGGAGGACTCCTATGCTAATTTCAGTCCCTCCCAAATCGATCATCTTGTTGATAGTGCTGCTGGCTCGCTGCGAATGACACTCGACTCTGTAGCCCCTCTAAAAAAGAAAATACTAAAACAAAGACGGTTAGCTCCATGGTATAATACTGAAACTCGCAAATTAAAGCAAATATCACGGAAACTTGAGAGGAATTGGCGTTCCACCAAAGTGGAAAATTCTCGTTTAATTTGGCAAGATAGTCTTAAAACTTATAGGAAGGCCCTCCGTAATGCCAGAGCAGCGTACTACTCGTCATTAATAGAGGAAAATAGGAACAACCCCAGGTTTCTTTTCAGCACTGTAGCCAGGCTGACAGAGAGTCACAGCTCTATTGAGCCAAGTATTCCCATAGCTCTCAGTAGTTACGACTTCATGAGCTTCTTTAATGATAAAATTCTAGCTATTAGAGACAAAATTCACCAAGACCTGCCCTCAACTGGCACCAACTTATCTCTAACTCAGGAACCTTAGAAACAGCTGTAGAACCAGATACATGTTTAGACTGTTTTGCTTCCCTCAATCTTTACCAACTAACTTCAATAATTTCTTCATCTAAACCATCAACCTGCCTCTTAGACCCCATCCCGACTAGGCTGCTTAAAGATGTTTTACCCTTAGTCAGCACTCTATACTAGATATGATCAATCTATCTTTATCAACAGGCTATGTACCACAGTACTTTAAAGTAGCTGTAATTAAACCTCTTCTGAAAAAGCCCAAACTTGATCCGGATGTTTTATCAACTATAGACCTATATCTAACCTTCCATTTCTCTCTAAGGTTCTGGAGAAAGCAGTTGCTAAACAGCTGTGTGACTTTCTACAGAGCAATAGTTTATTTGAGGATTTTCAGTCAGGATTTAGAGCTCATCATAGCACAGAGACAGCACTGGTGAAAATTACTAATGACCTCCTTATTGCATCAGACAAAGGACTTGTCTCTGTACTGGTTTTATTAGATCTTAGTGCTGCATTTGATACCATTGACCATCAGATCCTATTGCAGAGACTGGAATATTTCATTGGCATTAAAGGAACCGCTCTAAGCTGGTTTAAGTCCTATTTATCAGATCGATTTCAGTTTGTACATGTTAACGATGAGTCCTCCATGCACGCCAAAGTTACTCATGGAGTTCCTCAAGGATCTGTCCTTGGACCAATCCTCTTCACTTTATATATGCTTCCTTTAGGCAATATTATCAGGAAACATTCCATAAGCTTTCATTGTTATGCAGATGATACTCAGTTATATCTATCGATCAAGCCAGATGAAACTCATCAGTTAGCTAAACTTCAAATGTGCCTTCAGGATGTTAAAACCTGGATGAGCTGTAATTTTCTATGTTAAACTCAGATAAAACTGAAGTTATTGTTCTGGGGCCTAAGCACCTCCGTGACGCATTATCTAAAGATATAGTTTCCCTGGATGGCATCGCCTTGGCCTCCAGCACCACTGTGAGGAATCTTGGAGTTATCTTTGATCAGGACATGTCGTTTAAGTCCACATTAAGCAAATTTCAAGGACCGCCTTTTTTCACCTACGTAATATTGCGAAAATCAGGAACATCCTGTCTAAAAATGATGCAGAAAAACTAGTCCATGCATTTGTTACTTCTAGGCTGGATTACTGCAATTCCTTATTATCAGGCTGCTCGAAAAAGTCCATTAAGACTCTTCAGCTGATCCAGAATGCTGCAGCACGTGTTCTGACAGGAACCAGGAAAAGAGATCACATTTCTCCTGTTTTAGCTTCTTTGCATTGGCTTCCAGTAAAATCCAGAATAGAATTTAAAATCATTCTTCTTACCTACAAAGCTCTTAATGGTCAGGCACCATCTTATCTTAAAGAGCTCATAGTACCTTACTACCCCACCAGAGCACTGCGCTCCCAGAATGCAGGGTTACTTGTGGTTCCTAGAGTCTCCAAAAGTAGACTAGGAGCCAGAGCGTTCAGCTATCAAGCTCCTCTCCTGTGGAACCAGGTTCCAGTTTGGGTTCAGGAGGCAGACACCATCTCCACATTT